AAAAATTAAAATTTTTATATCATTTCGATAATTGAAGTTAGAAATATTTACACAAGCAAAAAAATAAAATAAAATAAAATTTAAAAAATCGATAGTTTTAAACCGAATAGGCACGATAACAATTTTTATGTTTCTTTATAAACAAAAAAAAGTAAAGCCATCCACACAAGAATAATAAAAGTAAAACTCGAGCTCGCTAACTTTGCAGGCCATATATGACGTCATCAGTGGGCAGGCAGCATTTAGATTCTCATGCAGTTCGTGCACTTGGGACATGGTGAAAATTTTGAATTTCTAATTGATGCGCAACGAGTAAAGTGCGATAAAAGCGCTGCTAAATTGAAGCGAATTGCAATCACAATGCGATGGCTATAGACAAATAGGGTCTTTACACACGGGGCGTATGCGCAATTCAATTATAAATGACAAAATGTGAGAGGCCGTATTAAAGGGCAGCTGCAGCGAAATGTAATTTCTTAGGTGTGTGAAAAGCTGCTCGTTGCTTAGCTCACAGCTCCCAGAGGACCGGCAGCTGCACGTATTTATTGGCTGACTTGCACTGATGAAGGTCGCTCGCTTCCCGCTGCCCGCTGCCCGCCGCGTGGCCGGCGCAGCTGCGACGGTCCCAGGTCGCTGATTGACTCACGATTATGCAATAAAACAACAGGCGAGGACAACAGCAGAGCGAGCTGAGACAATGCTCGTGTCTTACTTTCTCTCCCTCTCTCTCTGTAAGTGTGCGTGTGTGTGTATGCCCACTGTTTCATTGGCTTTATTTCAACGCCAGCTTTTCAAAAAGCTCCAACTTTTTATGTCCAACTCATTAAAAATGTGCGCCAATGGACTTTCTGCCGACCCGCTGCGGCCACGCCCACAACTTTGGGGCATTTCTGCTGTGGGAATTTGGGTTCGTTTGCCGACTCAATGAATGAAGCCCATGCAAAGACCGCGCCAACAACCAGCAGCAGCAGCAGGAGCAGCAGCTAAATGCAATTTCCAAGTTTTTAATGTGCGAAATTTCTAATTTAAGATTTACGATATTTTTTATGTTGAATTACATTTCCGTCTTCGTCTGCCCCGCCCACTCGCTAGAAGCCCTCAGCCTTGATGTTGGCTCATTTTCGTTTGTTGGCGTTTGGCTGCGAATTCATTGCGCCGGGCTTTGTCTAGCTTTATGCCCCGTTTTCAAGTTTGGCTGGACTTTTTTATGTGGCCCATCCTTAATTGTTCGCAATGCTTTGGCCAGATTGCAGGCGATTAATTGCTGTTCCTACAAAGTCCTAGCAGATATCCCGACATCATTATAGCCGAGAGCATAGGTCAGTAACCGCCATTTCATCTGCTGGAACTTTATTGGCTCACATGCCCGACCAGACCAGATCAGACCCGATGTGTAAATCCCCCCATTGTATTTGTTGTTGTTGCTAAATGAAATGCGCTGATTTAATTGTTTTCGGCTGACCAGTTGACCAGATGCGGAAGGGAAAAAGTTTGTTGTGTGAATACGCTTTGAAGTTTATGGCCTGTTGTTTACGGCCGAGTCTGCTGTTGAGTGTAACGAGTTCTCCTGCTGCACTTTGTCAGGCTCGGGGCAATAAATTGTAGGTTGGAGCAGATTTAGTTGCACACACGGAATGTTTGACTCTGTGATTCGAGAAGATGAATTGAACCACGATTGATGGGGCAATGCATTTTCAAATTTAAATACATTCCGTTGAAACAATCCAGAGTAGAGCAGGAGAGGCTATGTTTGCAAACTCTTTAAATTATATTAAGCGTTAAGCAGACTCGAGCGCCTGACATCAGACATCAGTGTGGTGCAACTCGAACCACTTATGCGAAGTGCCGGCGCTTCAGCCCAAACCCGAAAAAAGAAACCACAAAAACCGTATCTCAATTGCAATCACTCAAAACAACGGAAATGACGCTTAGCACAACTTCCTGCCGTTTAGCCGGACAAATGGAGGAGCGCGTGCCAAGCTACGGGACGACGCGCAGCTTAAACGTGGCCAAAGCCAGCTGCAGACACGATAAACCAAATGGCCAGGCGGATTGGCAAGAGCAGGAGCAGGAGCAGGAGTAGGAGGAGGCGAAAGAGGAGAATGGGTAAAGGGAACTGGGAAACTCACGCTGGGAAATACGTTTTTTGGCATATTTGTCAACGCTGTTGCCACAGTGGCAGCAAATGAGTGCCACGCCCACAGTGCCATTCATACATTTGCCTTTGCCGCTGACTGACATATTCAAGTGCAATTTCCTTGTAATACGAAACTATGTCATTTCGGCACGGACACGAACACGGACACGGACACGGGCACGGACACGGGCCGGAAGCAACAGCAGACGAGTTGGCCAGCTGAGAGATAGCAGAGAAAATTGTTACATCTGCGAATGCCTGGCATCTCTCTGCATAGAGACACCACACACACACACACACAAACACACAGAGAGATGACACGTCACAACACTTGGGCGCCTCTCGTGTCCAGCACCTGCTGCTGCCGCCTGCTTGTTGCCTCCTGCCTGTTGGCACGTTGCAGTCGAGGCGACAGCTCCTGTTGGACGCACAGCTATATATGCCAGTATCTGCGGCAACCAGCTGGCTGGCTGGCAGGCTGGCTAGCTGGCTGGCTGGCTGGCCTCAAGTAGCCTAAAGAAGCGTGTCTGCAGTGTCTGCACTGGAACTGGAAGCGCCGCTTGCCAAACAACTCGACAACGCAACTAAGCCGGACGTGCGACAGCGGACCGGCTGCCCGACAAGCGGCATTTGATAATGTCAAGCCCAAAATTCAGCCACGAGTGCAGATCCAAATACCACCTCCGCAATTGCACGTTGCGATTTCAGTAGCCGACAACCGACAGACGACGAGCAGCAAGTGTTGCCAACGATTCTCGTGTGGGTCTCAAGTGTGCGTCAAGTGCTTTGGCCTCAGGCCGGAGCTGCTGATGAGTTTTGGTTGCCAGGCGTTTAATTAGTTTTAGTTGAACTTGTGAGCGTTCCTCTTTGTAATTGCCTTTCGGTGTTTTCGTCTCTTTTGTCATTGCAGAACAGTTTCACATCTTTGTGGGCGACTTGAGTGCTGAGATCGAGACGCAGCAGCTGAAGGATGCATTCACACCATTTGGAGAAATATCGTAAGTTGAATGAACAATTTGATTTGATGAACAAAATGAGTCCAAATTATATTTAATTATATTGTATATATATT